TCTTCCTCATATCCATCCTAAACCCCCCTGGCACAGCTTCAGCCCATTTCTTCTCATCCAATCCCTGGTCTGAGCAGCTTCCTTGTGATGGTGGTGGGGAGGAGCACAGGGCCAGGGCCAGGGGCAGGTCACACAACAGCACTCAGATCTTTCTGAGTGTTTCCTTTTTTTGGAGGAGGAGCTCTCTGCTAGGAGAGCAAAGCAAGACCAGCAACAACCCCAGGGAATGCTCCAGGCTTGGGGAGCAGTGGCTGGAAACTGCCTGGGGAAAAAGACCCTGGGGGTGTTGGTGGACATCTGGATGAACATGAGCCAGCGTGTGCCCAGGCTGGCACAGCTTCAGCCCATTTCTGCTCATCCAATCCCTGGTCTGAGCAGCTTCCTTGTGATGGTGGTGGGGAGGAGCATGGGGCCAGGGCCAGGGGCAGGTCAGACAACAGCACTCTGATCTTTCTGCTCTCTCTGAGTGTTTCCTTCTTTTTTTGGAGGAGCTCTCTGCTAGGAGAGCAAAACTGCCTTAGGGAGCCTGGCTGAGGGACCTGGGCTGGGTTAGTCTGGAGGAGAGGAGACTGAGAGGTGACCTCATTGCTCTCTACAGCTGCCTGAAAGGAGGGTGGAGTGAGGCTGGTGTTGGGCTCTTCTCCCAAATTCCTGATGATGGGACGAGAGGAAACAGCCTCAAGTTGCCCCAGGGGAGGTTTCCGTTGGATATGAGGAAGAATTTCTTCCCTGAGAGAGTGGTCAGGCCCTGGAAGGGGCTGCCCAGGGAGGAGTCCCCATCCCTGGAGGGGTTCAGACAACGAGTAGATGCAGCACTTGAGGCTGTGGGCTAGTGGTGAGGGAGATGCTGGGATGGAGGTTGGATTCAGATCCCTGAGGCCCTTTCCAAGCAGAGTGATTCTTTGGTGATGGATCATTTCATTGGAGGAATTTCCATGTCATGTGTTGGGGGGGGGGGATGTTGGGAGGACAGTTACCTGGGTTTATTTTTTTGCTCTTGGGTTATAGCAACACCAGCTCCTCCAAGTGCTTGCCTGCTTTGCAGGACCAAGTTCAAAGAGCAGCAGAGTGCTCTGAGAAGAAGCTCAGTGCTGTTCTTGCCTGCTGGATGAACTAGTTGTGCTTGGAGAAGTGCTGCTTTAAGGAACGTTCATGGCTTGAGTTGCAGGCTGGAATTCTTTCCCTTTTATGTGTTGGAACAATATAATTCCAAATAACAGCACCAGCCTGTTCAGAGAATGTCAAACCCCCCTGGCTGTAACCCTGGGTGAGCTGCTGGAGCAGGGGGGCTGGAGATGATCCCCAGAGGTTCCACCCAACCTCCCCCCATGCTGGGATTCTGTAGTTAATGGCAGAGCAGGGAGAAATCCATCTACAGAGCTGCTGGCTGGGAGGGATTATGCTGCAACATGTTCTGGGGGAGCACTGGGCCTGAGTTCAAGGTGTCTGCTGGGCTTGCAGGTCTTTATGAGGTTGGGAACCCTCCTCCCCTATCCCAGCACTGATCTTCTCCCCTGTTTACCCACACCCAGAGCTGCATCTGTCCCAGCCTGGGTGGTGGGTGGCTGCTTTCCCTTCTCAGTCTCCTAACCACCCTTGTAGGTTTGTCTACGTGTGGGACACCACGTCCAGGAGGATCCTGTACAAGCTGCCAGGCCACGCAGGGTCTGTGAATGAACTGGCTTTCCACCCTGAGGAACCCATCAGTAAGTCCTCCCCACCTCAGGGCAGCTGCAGAGGTAGTTTCAAGGCTGACTGAACTGCTGATCCAATGCAAAACAGCCCCAAAATCACCCGTGGCCCAGAGCCCTGGGGGTTGGCCAGGTGTGGGGTAGCAGAATGCTCCCCCAGGAGCAGGGTGGGGCTCTGTGTCTGTGTCCAGCCCCAGAGACCTGGGTGGGGGCAGCACCAGTGTGGCTGCTGCTCTGGGCTGGTGCTCACCTGGGGGTGGCTGTGAGCCCTGGCTTGGCTGCCACTGCCTA